GAACAGCTGCTATCAGATCAGCCTTCTCACAAATAACATCTATTCACTTCAGACAAACTACAACACTACCTGAAGACTGAAGAGCAATCAAAGGCAGGCAGATAGCCATTTTGGAAAAATGGCAATTCCTCAAAAAGTTAGATTACTATTTAACCCAGTAATTGCACTCCTAAGAATACACCCAAGAGAAATGAAAGCATATGTCCACACAAAGACTTATACACATTCATAACAGCTTTACTCAAAATAACCAAAATTTGAAACAACTCTAATGACTACCAACTGATGAATGGATAAACAAAATGTGTTATACTCATAAAATAGAATATTGTTTGTCCATAAAAAGGAATGAAGTACTAATATATGATACAACTTGGATGAATCTTGAAAACATTATGCTAAGTGAAAGAAGCTAGTCACAAAAGGCCACATAATATATTATGCCATTTATATGAAATGGCCAGAATTGACAAATCCATTGAAAAAGAAAGTAAATTAGTGGTTGCCAGAGGCTGGGAGTACAGTAGGGAGAAATAGAGACTGACAGTAAAAGAATATGTAATTCCTTTTAGAAAGAAAGAAAATGTTCAGAGTGTGGTGGTGACTGCATAACCCTATGAATTATTGAAAAAATAGTAAACTGTACACTTTAAATGGATAAAATGTATAGCATGTGAATTATATCTCAATAAAGCTGCTTTGAAAAAGCAGGCAGAAACTTGAGGGGAGTCAATGGTTGAAAGGGAACAGTATTTAGTGAATTTCTTTTTTTTTTTTAACTACCTTTTACCTGAGAGCAGGCCCTCCTTGGTATCAAGCATGATGGCTAAATGTCAGATAGAAGCTACTGTCACGGGTAGAGGAATCAGAGGACAAAGTTCAAGTTGACCAGAAGAGCTAGAAATTGAGAGGAAAATTCTAGAAAGAAAAAAATCATAGAGAATTCATCTTCCCACCACAGAAGAGACAGAACCTGAAGTTTAAGTTCAGCCAAGTTACTTCCCTGTTAACACATACAGAAAAATCAGCACTCTTTAGAGAAACATAACAGAATCCAGAGTCTCTACTAAGTACTGTTCACAATGTTCAAAATACAATTCAAAATCACTAGTTATACAAAGACACAACAAAAATGCCACAAGAGAAAAGGCAATGATGACAAGATGCTAGAATTAGTAATGATTTTTAAGCAGCTATTATAACCAAGGCCTTAGTGAAAAATGTGTTTTGAACATATAACAAAGAAAATCCCAGGAGAAAAATAAGAACTACAAAAACAACCAAATAGAAATTCTAGAATTGAAAAATATAATATCTGAAATTAAAATTCACTGAATAGGCTTATGGGAAGATTGGAAATGATTAATGAAAGAATTAGTAAACTTGAAGATAGATCAACAAAAATTATCCATTTAGAAATCTGAGGGAGACAAAAGATTGAAGAAATATGAACAGAGCCTTGTTGACCTGTGGGACAGTATCAAAGGTCTAAAAAATTTGCAATTGGACTTCCAGCAGGGAATAGAGAATGGAGAAGAAAAAGATTATTTGAAAAAATAATGGCCAAAATTTCCATAAGTTTGCTGAAGTCATAAATTTGCATACTCAAGAAGCATAGAGAACTTCAAACAAGACAAATACAAAGAAAGTCAGACACTGTCAAACTGTTGGAAGCCAAAGACAAAGAGAAAATCTGTAAAGCTGTCACTGGTAAAGGCCACTCTACATTCAAGAGAGCAATGATACCAATAGTCCCTTATTTCTCATCAAAAACAATAAAGACCAAAAGAGAGTGGAACAAAAGGGCTGAAAGAGGTGGAGAGGGTATAGCTCAGTGGGAGAGTGCATATTTAGCATGCATGAGGCCCTGGGTTCAATCCCCAGTATCTCCATCAAAATAAATAAATAAATAAATAAATAAACAAACAAAC